CTGTATCACAGGGGAGTCCACCACCAGATGCTACATTACCAGGTCCCCATGCCTGCTGGCCTCCTGTCCGTGTTCGGCCAAAAGAAGGCTCTGGCAGGAGATTCAAGGGGCAGTGTTTCTAACAGCAACTCTGTCTCCTCAAAGCTCGGATCCCACTGGACAGAACCTCTGTGGTTCCAGCTTCCTCCAGGTGAGCCCGATCCCTAATTCTTCCCTTAACCCTCCAAGTTAAGGGAGGTCATAGCTTTACGCTGCTGCTCATCCCTTGGTGGCCTCTGTTTGACTTCTCAGTGATTCTCTAACCCGTGTAACCAATTCCATGTATTAAGTTCTCTCTTTCGAAGTCCCCAGATACAACGCTGGTACAAAACAAACATCGTTAAATGGCAAAATGACATTCGGAACACCTGTATGCTCCCTTTGGCGTGAAACAGCAGGATATCTATCCATCAACACGTGTTCATATAACACCTGAAAGATCTCACCACAGTCATTAGCAGTATTAGCTTCTGTAAAGCGGCAGTGGAGGTATGGCGTGCAATGGAGACTGACCCTCCATAATTATGTGTTAATACTATTTGTGTTTTTTACCACATACAAGCATTAAAAAAAAATTTTAAACCTAGTTAAGCTGATGAAAATACTTTTCCATTTTTGCTGTGATTCTTAGTTTAAGGGATTTCTCTCGTGGGTCTGTGTTTAGACCTAGGATCCTGAGAGGCTGGCAGGGTGAAGGTCAGAGAACTTCTACCCCACTGAAGCTAAAATGATCATGTCACTGTCATGCTTCAAACCCGCCCGTGCTGCCTACATTATCTTCTTCCTCATCACTAGTTTCTCAGAGGTCTGCTTTAAAGCCACAATGGGTCGGGTACTCCTACTGTACCTTATTTCTTTCCATGTAGCACACGGTCCTGATCATAATTATACATTTGTGTGATTGTGTAATTAATGCCAGTAGTCGATGAAAGGTTTATTTTAATGGATGAGTGGCCATGCTAGAGTCACACTCCCCATTGTGTGGGGAGCCATAACTATCATCTACTGAGCCCCGGTCCCACACTTTCAAGCAGAGCCTTAAGTTGCTGGTGACTTAATCAGAAAGTGCCTTTCCTTTCTGTACATTATTATTTTTTTTTAAAGCAAGTACATGTTCATTCTGAACACAGTCCGTAACACCTTAAAAGTCAAATAGCTTTTGTCTAAAATATTAATACACTCGAAATCCTGTTTTTTAATAAAGAAACTGGGCAACATTAATACAATAAATGAAAATCAACAGGCTAGTTGCATGATATTTCTCCTCTTGTTCTGTTTCTTCCTTTATGAAATCAGTAAAAGCTTCATTTTAATAACAATGTAATAACTAGGAATATGTTCTTCTTCAAGTTAATAACCTTTCACATACATAACCTCAGAACTTGTATTTCCAGTTTTCAGGCAAGGGAGCTTAGATGTGAGATGTTCTAGACACTTGATCAGCCACTTCAGAGCCCACTGCATGCTTTGTCTCCCAAATGACCTAAATCAATTTCTGTCCTGAGTTTAAGGCATTTCTATTATGATGATGATTATAAATGCCCTTCTGTCGCAGGTGCATTGCCACTGTGCTAAAGAGATGAAGTGTTTCCCTGTGGGAGTTCCCAATATTTGGGCATCATTTCTTTAAGCCTTAGTTGTGGCTGAAATGGGGGCTGGGACAGTCGAAAATACGGGCAGTGAACATGTGTTCAACATGAGGTCTAACTCAAAAGAATTCAAGGAAGAGAAGATGAAGATTATCTGATAAAGTGTCACCTAGAAAGTCAGCATCACACATAGCTGGTGCCCAGAAACATAAGGTTACATTTACAAGACACTCTATTTAATGTCTCTGATGGCCTCTGCCAATGAGGGATCTGTCACAGGAAGATGAATGTAGTCTGCCATATTAGTGTTCAAATGTTCCCTATGGGTCCAACCCTAAGTCCCCGGGTCCATTTCAATTCAAGCTTAAGATGAACTCTAGCTTCAGAGTGCTCAGGGCCAGCTGCCCACAGCAGTGGGTCACATGGGAAGACCCAGGGGGATGGGCCAGATTGCTCCAGGAATATAACAAATGAAATGACCGATAACTCATAGTGTCTGTTTCCTGTCAGTGGGTGATTAATAATCCGCCCACAGTCAGGCCCTGAAATCAGAGTCGATATAGTCTGTTTTGCAACTCTAAATGAATGGTGGCTCAACTTTTCTCAAGGTTACACTAATTACCCTTACACACACACACACACACACACACACCCCAACCACTACTACTATTATTAGTAGTATTTATGGAGCAGTTATAGGAAGCCAGATGCTGCGCTAAAAGCTTCAGGGAATACCAAAGAAAAATACCCGATTCCTGCTCTCAGGAGTTCATATAGTCTAGACTCAACTTGTGCTCATATAAATGTCCCTAAAAAACTTCAGATAAGAACAATAATAACAGCTGGCAGGTAATGAGTACTTAGGATGTGGTAGATACTCTTGTGAATGCTTTACATATTTTATCTAATGTATTCCTCATCATAACCTTCACAATCCTCTGAGGTAGGTATGATTTTTTATCTTTATTACACAGATGAAGAAACCAAACGGAAACACAAATAGTTTTGATAAAACTTGCCTGAGGTCACAGAGCTAGACGTAGTGGACCTGGGGTTCAAATTTATGTGTCTGGCTCCAAAGATCAGTAGTATTTTAGGTACTCCCCTACGACAATCAGCTGTAATTTAGTAAATATGTCCCATGGGCAGGCACTGTGCTTGCTATCTTACACATTTTACTTTATTTAATGCTCGCAATTAGTGAATCACCTCATTTATAAATGCTTTCATTTGCTCTCTCCCTCATTTCTGTAATATCAGTATTATTTTTTATCTAACAGATGAGGAAACTGAGGCTTAGAGAGACACGAAATGTTTCCAAGGTTAAATGATTCAATCGTAGATCCGTTTTCTCCAAGCTTGATTCCTGCACATTGGTATTATGCTGTAGATGAAAAAGGGGCTACTTACTAAACCTGACAAGCTCAGGGGGGGCCTGCATGGTGGCTCCAACAAACCCAGAGACCGGAAGTAACCACATGGGATGGTCTGAACACGAAAGATCTCAAATAAAAGCGAGTCATGGGGATAGTCTGGTCATAGGCCTTTAGTTTTCTTGACAAAGGTCAATCTTTACCTTAAGTGAAGTCTGTCTATGTCTTTTTGCATCGAAGATAACTTAGCTTTGAAATGTCAGCATAATCTTTTTTTCCAGACCCCTCAGGGCACAACTGCTGCACCAGAGCATGAGATCACAGAACCTCTCATTGGTATCTTTTTCCCAGAATGCCACACACCTCTTCTCTGCCTGTAAATGGTTTTTTTTTTTAATGTTAATTTTTAACTATCCTGTACCCGCCACTGTAAAAGAAGTAGTAATCTCTCAGTTTAACTTTTTATCCACTCCCAGAGGTTTCCCTGCTTTGCTTTCTTATGCTCCAACAATGAATTTCATGTAACCCTCTTTAAGTCTCCTTCTTTTATGCTAATGTATAAAATAAGCTGCAAAACTGTCATTCTCTAGAGCATTTTCTAGATCTGTGGAGATTTTTCTTCCTGGTGACTGTCTCGGCTTGGCTCATAAAAAATTCTCTACAAGTTTGGACATTCCTTATGCCAACAATATTATATTTCAAGAAAAATGCCTTCAGATAATATTCTAACAAACTTTACCCTAATCAAAACAATCATACTACCATTTATATGTTTCATTGCTAACATTTGAATGTACTCAAGTCTCACGGTAAGTCTAAGTGTTAGTAGGACAGATTGAAGACATCAAAGCTGAAGTTCAAAATTAAGGGGCAGGTCCGGAGTCATACGACATCATCCTTCGTCACTGACCTTCATTTACTCACTAGCTGCTTAAGCAACCAGCAGTGCTGTTATGTTCTGGCATTGGAGAGATAACAATGACTGAGATCCTCTGTTTTTTGTAATTCATGATCACAGCAGAGGAGCTGAGATTCTTTTCCTCTTCATATTTTCTCCTTGGGCTATGGCTCCACTTTGAACTCCTAGTGGAACCATGTCCATTCAAAGGGGCAGAAGCGCTGACCCAGGTTGGCCATACCTGTGCCCTTTCTTGATTCTTCACCTTCCATCCTTAAACTCACTGAGAAGCAGAACTTGCCCTATTTAAGAGACATGTAGCAACACTTGGCCCTGATGAGGCAGCCAGCTCTGCAATGACATTTTCAGCATCTGTAAGCAGAGTTCTGGTGACAGTCTGAGAACTAACTGATGAACCGCACAACCCTGGAATGGGGCTATAATTTAGAAGTCGCCGGGTCCATCTTTCAGACAAGCAGCTTTGGGGAGTGGACAGGGAATGCAAGAACCCTTTATGAATGCAGCAAGCTTCTCTAGACAGCTCGGGGGCAGTGGAACAACTTTGAAGAGGCAATTCCAGAAGTTCAGTACGTAGGACACTAAGGTACCAATAGCCCTTTGATGATTAATCTGTTGGTGAAGAAAACAGTGGCCAAGGTATCCCACAACCTGTACGGGTTTACCTGCCCTAGACCGGAAGCTTTTCCTCTGCTGATTCTCTACCTCTAACCACCCCAGACAACAAGAAGTGAGCGGAAAAAGCACAGGCTTTAGAAGCAAACAGACAGAAGTTAGAGAAATTCCTTCTACGCCGTCTATGTAATCTTGGAGATTAAGGATGGCGAAGTCCCCAAAAGTGCTCTGAGACAATGCATGGCATAGATGAGGAGCCTTGTCATTCGAGCTCTCAGAGCCCGCAGAGAAGGGGCCAGTCAAGAGAGGGATAAAGTGTCTGGGACGCACCGCAGGCTGCGCCGGGATCTTGGCTGCATGGGACGCTCAGCTCAGCGTGGAGGAGCCGGCTCCCCAGCGTGCGCCCGGCCCTCCCACCGCCGGTCCGCTGCCAGGTGGCCGCCCGCTGGCGGGAAGGAGCCAGGAAACCTCAGAGCCTCTCCGAGACAGGAGTGCCTTGTTCCACAGCCCGAAGGCTTTTTTTCCCTCCCAGGAGCCAGACATCCTTGCTCCACCCCCCCACCGTCCTGTCTCTCCAGGCGATTTTTTTTTCTGTCCTGGCTCTGAAAGTGTTAACCCCAGAGCATCCCCCACTGCTCCCGCCAAAGGATCCTAAAAAAAAAGGTGCAAAGTTTGATTCAGATAGGGAATGAATGATCAAAGCCAAGCCGATACTTCCTGTCGCCCAGAGGCTATATATAACGTGATGACTGCGCCCGCTGCGGAGACGCACCGGAGCGCTCGCCCTGCCGCCTGAGGTTTGCCGGGGACCACAATGAACAAGTTGCTGTGCTGCGCGCTCGTGGTAAGTCCCTGGCCCAGGGGACGGGGCGCGACCCGGGCGACCGGGAGGCCCCGGCCTCGGACCTTCCCGCGGATTGACGGGGACAAAGCTCAAATGCCTCGCTCCCTGTCCCAGGAGAGATTTGGGGTCAAGTTGGAGACCTCTTTCAAGCTAACTGTATTTCTCCAAGTGTGTCAGTTGGAAGCTCCTGCTGGTTATTATGCAGAAGAGAGAGGAACCCTAGACCTTTAGTGTTTGAATGATTTTTATCCGTTTTTTGGACTTGCTCATCTCAGACTATTAATGCCCTCATGCAGTTCTTTGCTTAGTTAACTTGGATATTATTATTATTAACAATAAAGTAGTCTTTTAGAATCAGAGTAAGTTGGGAGGAGGTGTCAAGTCTTTTTAAAACTTATAATTACAATAAACTTTGGATGCATTGATATGATAGGATGCAGCTTTAGGCTCCTTCCTCACTTAAACAAATATTATGAGAAATAATGAATAACTGGCACAAGAGAAAAGATCACACACACACACCACACACACTCAACTGTGCAAGTTAATATTTTAATAAAATTTTATTACTAAAATGGCTTTTTCCACTTCTCACCTTCAATATATTGGTGGGCTAATGTAAATTATGTTCTAAAATATATTTAAATAATTGAATTCAGCACTAAATAGGGCTAAAAGTTATTTTAACACACTATTTGAAAAGAGAAATCTCTGTGACTTGGTTTAACTTCCTTTTCTTCTTTAATTTAGATTTTTGAGCCATCAACTTAATAAGATTTAAAGATTATTCTATGACCAGTCACTTATTTCCTTTATGTCACTAAAGTGAGGAACAGATTGAGTTTGAGAATCGGATTGAGAATCAGACATTCACAAAGGATATAAAAGCCCATATTTAAGTTATATATTGTTTTGAACACGTTAGAGTAAATGCTTGAATTTCCATGTTCAAATCACAGTGAATGGAAAGCTAGGAAGTCTTCCAATTTATTTCTAGAATATACGAACATATGTAAGTAAGTAAGTAAATAAATAAACAGCAAAGTCCCTGAAGAAAAGGTAGGTTGGACAGGAGTCCACATATAAGAAGGCTAATCTTTATCAGTGATATATATATGTATATATGAGGGGATGTATTCTACCAATATGGATACTATGAAGAATTTTTAAAAACTAAACCTTTATTAAAACATAACACACATAAAGAATTGCACAATCATACTATCTAATAGTTTTTCAAAGTGAACACTTGTGAGCTAGTACCCAGATTAAGCAATACTACATTACCAGCACCCTAGAAGCTTCTTGGCTTCCTCTCTGTCACTATTATGTTCAGAGTAATCAATATTCTTACTTATAATACCATAGATAAGTTTTGCTTCTATTTAAACATCATATAAATGGATTTTATGCGCTTTTTTTTGTGTCTGGATAATTTCACTTTAAGTTCTTCGTGAGATTATTTCCATTATTAGATGTGAAACAGTTCATCCATTTTCCTTGCTGTATAGTATTCCATTGTATGAGCACATCACAATTGGTTTAATCAATCTAATTTCTGGCTAATATAAATAATCCTGTTATTAATATGGGGATACTTTTATTTTTCCCAGTCTTTAGTATTTTGTCAAAGATTTATTTAATATACATATTGTCAGTGACTTTTAAATTTCAGAATTTCCACTAAATAATATATGTACCTAATAACAAGTGTTCTGAAATAATAAGTAGACAAATGTTTTGGTACATGGCCTATATAGGAAGATAGATATGTATGTAGATTTAGATCATACTAATTATAGATGGTACGGCATTATCAAAAGAGAAAACTTTGTGTCTTGAACATAGTAAATACTTTAAATGGGAAAGATTTCCCTTGCTATAGTTTCTGAGATTGACTTTACATTATAAATGATTGGGAACTGACACTTTGTACTTACACATAAAGAGCCTAAATGCCCTTTTGTAAATACTGAGGTCCAGTTCTAGGAACTGGACGCATTACAGGTATTTAATACTTTGTACAGGGCATGCCTGCTGGGCATCAGGGACAGGGTGGAAAACAAGGTGGGAACCACTCCCATCCGATGAACCTCACAGCCTAATGGAGAAGCCAGATATTGGAGACATAATTGTATAGATAATGAGAGTAACAAAGGGGAAGCACTGGGTGACTCAGGAATATAAAAGACCCTGCCCTATAGAACCTTATAAGGGAAACTTCAGTGAAGTGGTTATTCATTGGACCAAAATTCAAATATCAGTACCACCACATACCTGATAAATGATGACGAGCAAGTTATATGTCTTTTGAGTTTTAGTTTTTTCTTCTATAGTGATAAGTACACATGCTAGATGATCACATAAATTTCCTGCTTCATATTAACACCAGCTTCTAGCATTATGTTCACAAATAACTGTAGGACCATCTAGAACCAAGTGGATTATGTAAACAAAATGTCGATGCTCTGAGTAGGGAGAGAGGACCACAAACTATTACTTTGAAGGAGGATTAGAATGTTTCGTTGTTGGAGGTAAAACCAAGGTGTCCTGAACCTAAGAAAGTGGGAGAAAATGAAATTCTGCGGCAAAGCAAAATTCTAGAATCTTTAATGAGAGCAGAGGGTAGACAAGCATTGAGGAGGTGTGGTCATTAAGACTAATGCCATGGTTTTTGTCTTTCTGGAATGATCACGAATGGAATTAATCAGAGACCCACTCTGCAAGGTGAGGTAGTGACATCACTAAGTCATTTCTTTCATGGTTGTCCAGAGGCCACCACCTGATACACTGGGAACATCCTGGCCTAGGTCTATAACTGTTGGCTGAAACTTTCCATCATAGAGTGCCAGAACCATCCACTGGGTTTCTCAATACCAAACTCTGAATTACTGTTATGATGATAGGACTTCAGTGGGGAGAAGCAGGAGGAAGGGGTAGGGTGTGATAGATGTTTATTGTCAGGACAACTGCCTGATGGATCTGT